ATTTTTATTTATTTTCCGAAAAAACATGGAGAAGATAAAACACATTAAAAATACATTTACAGAATTAATTGCAAGAAACAAAGAAATCACATTTCAAATACATATATATACATATACACATATACACACGCACATACATATATATATATATATACACACATATACATATATATACATATACATACATATGTATATATATATATATACATACACATACACACACATACACACACATACTCATGCACATACACCCACATATACATACCGCATACATATATATACACATACATATGCATATGCACATAAACATACATAGAAGTGTCCTGCATAAGTGACCAATATATCAACATAAGGCACGCCATCGGGGTTTGACAGTGTTACCAAAACGACTTCAGCAATAGCCCCATGCGATCAAGGTGATTGTTGCCAGGGAACGGATTTTCATATAGAATCGTTTTGATACTGTCACAGATACCGTTCTTAATGGAGCGTTTGAAGTTGCTACGATAAGTTTCATTAAATATATATTTGCATAGAGAAGTGAGAGTCTGATCGATTTGCAAACCGATTTTTAATCCTATCAACAAGTGTATTCTTTGAAAAAGATATATCTTTTTTCTGGTCGTTAAGAAGGTGAGCATAAAAAGATCTCGCCTTGGATGTATTATTCATAATTTGGCGTACAAGGTCCAGTTGGCGCGTAATTAGGATATCATTTACTTTTGGAACGTTTAAGGCATGTAACAGAGGTGTAGTTTTAGAGTATTTTTGAAGACCAAATGTTGCTTTAATAAGCTTATTCTGTGTAGTTTCTAATTTGTTCAAAAATGTGTATTAATACACTGACAGCCATAGATTAGAATAGGGACCAACACGCTGTTTCATACGTGTGTTTTAACGCATGTAGAACTACCACCTTTGCACATGCCTATACATTGCAGGGAGTAAAATGCTCTTTGGCACTTGCGGATTCTCTCATCAACATGTTTATGTGATCTACTAAGATCGTTTGATAAAATAACACCCAGATACTTTGCGGAGTCAGTAACATCAAGTTTACAACCATTTAGGAACCAAGAGGGTTCAGTCATAAATGTAGTATTACCGAAGACAGTATATGTAGTTTTACACGGATTGAATCGTAATCCATGAGATGAGATATACTCGTTAGCAAAATCAATTCAATTTTGGAGCCCAGTGATCGTTAGGCTAGCAAGCAAAATATCATTGGCATAACAAAATGCGTTGAAGGCAGAGTGGGCAATAACTATACCGCAGTTTAGAGAATTTAATCATTGAATAAGATCTTTATAAAATAGATTAAATATGAATGGAGATGACAACCCCCCACCCCCTGTCTTGTGCAATTTTTCTACTTATGGAACCACCCCACTTCACCTTCACCGTCAAATTTGTGTACCAAGATAGTAAGCATCTCCACCATGGATCATCAATGTTGTCACCTAATTTTTCAAAAATGACATCATGTGGGATTGCATCAAACGCGTCCTTAGCGTCTAGAGAGCACAGAAATACATTAGAACCTTTATTGATGCAGTAGCCGAAGACGTCATTGACAGTGGTGGCAGCCATGGCTGTTCCTCTACCTTTTATAAAACCAAATTGTAAAGGGTCAAATACAAAATTACCATACGATTCAAGAAAGCCCAACTCGAATATTTTTGAAATTGTACTAGAAACAATAATTGGATGGATCAATGTTGGGTTTTTTAAGAATAGGTATGAGGTTACCTTCATGAAATTTACTAGGAACAATGCCGAATTGTAAACAAAAATTAAAAATACTACCAACACATCAGGTAATTTAGAGTTAATACTATGTTTCAAATGGTTTGCGGAAATTCCGTCAGGCCCTGGGACTGATTTTGTATTAATTAATGTAATTAGCTTTTGAATTGAGAATTTGTCAAAGTTTGAACTGACGAAAACAGCCTGCTTTAAGGTCTGGGTTTTACACTTAACAAATTCTGTGTCCTGTTGACTTTTGTCCGACTTAAATTTGTTAACATCGAATTTGGTTGGCATAGAAATCGGCTAAAATGTCGATTAAAATTGACTCACTCTTATCGATGTTATTTTTCTTACAGTCAACAACAGCTTTCCAGAATTTTTTTGAATTACGTTGAGTGTACAATTTATTTAGAGCATAGTATTTTATAGAGGCGGCATTGTTGACATTACGCCTGCAAATACGCATGTAGTCTTTTTTCGCTAACTTGTAGCATTGGAAAATTTGGCCGGTTATAGGTTTGTTACATTGAGTCCATAGGCGGTACCAAAACCTTTGTTTCTAGTTGTGATGCAAGCGTTATTCCACCAGTGAACTTTTTCTGAATATTTTTTGACGGTTCTTTTTTATTGCAGTAGTTGATTGAATCAAGGATGGAAGCGATTAGCCTGTTGTAAACACTGTCAATGGCAATCTGAGCGGTATCAACCGAGCTACAAGATAAATAGAACTGTCAAAGTTATCGAATATTTTAGTAACATTGTTCGTGAATTGTAAACAGAAATCATCGTCATTCCATAAGCACTAGTTAGGGAACTTATGCGGACCACTATAATCACATTTTGGGGTAGTTGCGTTGCAAGCAATATTTGATATTTCAATACATGTAAGCAGGGGAAGTGATCACTGGTATTGAAGGAAAAAGTATTAATTATTTTACAATTGTTAACTCTATCAAAAGAGAACTCATTAACGATAACGTGATCAATATATGACTTATTTGGTCCCTTAAAGTATGTATAATTAACATCTTGTTTGAAAGCGAAGTTACAGACCTTGAGATCGTGGTCGCATAGAATATCATACAAGATCAGACTATGTTCGGTGTACGGGTGTCTTTTGTACCAATTTTTGTCAAGGTTGTAATTACTGGGGAGGTTAGCATTAAAGTCGCCTACTATCATTATAGGGCTGCAATCACACTCATCTATCAGATATTGTAGGTAATCGATAGTTTCGACGAACAGTTGGATTTGTTCGTGGGAAACATTGTAGTGGGGGAGGTACACACCAAATATAGTCATAATAATTGTATTATTGCATATTAACTGAATGGCACTTACTCTACTGTTATTAATATCCATGTTTCTATATTTTATACCGGGAAGTAGTTCACATAAAAAACCAACTCCACCATACGGACGACCGGTAATCACTTCCTCCGGGTCCATATTGGATTTTAAAACGATTGATAGCCTTTCATATTAAAATAATTGATTCACATTAGACAATTCACAGGCACGTAACCAATGTTCCGAAAGAAAAACAACATCACATCCATTATTTTCTATAAGGTCAGTGATTGAATGTAAGCCACTTTTAAGGCCGAAACAGTTAAAAGATCATACGCTTAAACACATTTCCATTATGAATATATAGGCCGTTATAAAGATTTATAAATATAATATGAAATTGCTAATTTAACTGAATTTAGACATTCCTAAACATGTAAAAATGTAAAATAAGACTGAAATTTAATTTTTTGTGTTCACACAAAAAATAAATGCAGATAGAATTTTCATGTTTGATTTTGCGATAGGTCTGCGAAGAAATATAGTAATATTAGCCTATCCAACACTGCTATAGGCTAGGCCTATAAACTTACCCCGATTTAGGTTCTGTTCACACATAAAAACGGCCGACATGATATTTTCCGTTGCTAGTATTGACACTTGTGAAATAAAATATTTCATAGGAATTATTTCAAATCTGTTAAAAATGATTCTGGCCGAGATTTTGACAAACAAACATATCTCAGGCCTACTCAATCGATCGCAGTGTGCGAGATGCGAAGTACAAAAATCAATTTAATTAGAGAGGGCGGACTTTATTGACTGTTGTATAAAGTATACATAAAAGCGAGAGCATTCCATGATGAGCTGCCATAGTGATGCAATTAATTAATATTGAGAAAAACAGGCTTACCTTACAGGTGACTTTAATAGAGATCTCCTTTAATACACAGTGAGTAGTGATATTCAGTGTCACGTGGACGGTACGAGGGTATGTGATAACCCAGCTACAATCATAGATAACATCTACTGTTAATCAAATCCTCGTGTATAAAAACATGCAAATTAATATTAGATATTTCTGACCATTTCCCTATATTTTACCTTGATAAATACGAAAAATAATTTTAAAAAATAGAACAAAAACATATATATATATATATATAACACTTTTGAACATGAGATAAGTAGGCACCAATGGGAAAACGTATTGAATAGCGTAATGACGTGAATACAGCATACCAACTATTCTGCAGTACTTTAACTACAACAATCGAAGTTTCTATCACTAATAAAAGTTAAGATTAGGGCAAACCGAATAAAATTGCCCTGGAGAACTCAATTCGCACTAAAGACAAATT